GGAATCCTGTTAAAATGTGGATTCCAATTCAGGAGTTCTCTGGTGGGATCTGAGATTCAGCATTTCTAACAAACTTCCAGGTTAAAGTTGGTACTAGTTGGGAAGCAATCACCTTTTGCAAAGCAAGGCTACAGCTTAGCTTGGGAATCAAAGTAGTAGCAGACTGGGATGATTAGAGCTCAACTAAGAAGAAACAGTGGGAATGGAGGAAAAAGGGCAAACTTGAGAAATCTTTAGAAAGTAAATTTGGCAGGAGATGGTGATTAATTAGATATGGAAAATGATACCCATGTTTCTGGCTTATTTCTGTATATACACACAGTAATATTTGCTTTTGTTGGTGTTCAGGGAACATTTTCATTAATACATACAATTTTATAACAGCCACCATAATCAAGACCCAGAACAGTTCCATCACTCCAAAAAACTCCCTTGTATGCCCCTTTGTAGTCAAGCCCCCCTCCAATTTAAATCACTATTCTTATATATGTAATATGTCATCTTTTTTTTCTGTCTACCTTCTCTACCCCCTGCCCCCATCTTGATTCTTAGCAGTTTGATTATGATGTGTCTGGGCATGATTTTCTTTGTGTTTTTCGTGTTTAGGGTTCACTGATCTCCTTGGATCTGTAAATTTATATCTTTCACCATACTTGGGAAATTTTCTGTCATGATTTCTTCATATATTTTATTCTGTGCCTATTTATTCTCTTCTGGAACTTTAAATGACGTAAATGTTAGACTTTTTGATATTGTCTCCAGCTGCCTGAAGTTTTATTAATTCTATGGTCTTTCCTCTGTGTGCATGCATACCTGGTATCTCTCTCTCTCTTCTGGTTAGATACCAGTCAGAATAGGGCCTCACCCTTATAACCTCATTTAACCTTAATTGCCTCTTTTAAGACCCAACTATAGTTTCCAACTATATTCACATTGGGGGTTAAGGACACAATTCAGTCTATAACAAGTGGGTTCATGTCAAACAACCCATGAGCCACTTTGAAGAGGCTTCCACTAGCTAAAAATGGGACAGTTTGAAAATTGATAGGAACTATTACAGCAGTTGACTTGAATCTATGAGTTTGGCCCCGATTGGTGTGGCTCAGTGGACTGAGAGGTCCTGGTTCTATTTCTGGTCAGGGCACATGCCAGGGTTGCAGGCTCCATCTTCAGTAGGAGGTGTGCAGGAGGCAGCTGATCGATGTTTCTCTCTCATGTTGATGTTTCTATCTCTCTCTCCCTACTTCTCTCTCTAAAAAATCAATAAAAACATAATTTTAAAAAATCTATGAGTTTGTAATGGTCTTTAAAAACTCATTTTAATATTCTGAAAACTGATAAGGAAAGAGAAATAAACAGGCATTTATCTTGCCTTTCCTGTGCAAACGGTACCTAAGTAACCTGGCTGAGTTAAACATGGCTTGATGGAAAGTAATTGTATAGTTGATGAGTGAATGTTATTTCTAATATGTAAGTGTTTCCATTAATAAGTGAAGAAAGTACCCTGACTGGTTTGGCTTAGCAGTTAGGGCATTGGCTGGCAGACCAAAGAGGCCTGAGTTCGGTTCCTGTTAAGGGCACGTACCTTGGTTGAAGTTTGTCCCCGGCCCAGGTTGGGGTTGTGTGGGTGGCAGCCAGTCGATGTGTCTCTCTCACATCGATGTTTCTTTCTCTTTCTTTTCCTCCCTTCTGCTCTATCTGAAGATAAATGCAAAAATGTCCTCTAGTGAGGATAAAAAATAAAAATAAATAAATGAAGAAAGTGATAAAATAGAATATTGCCAATTTATATACACCTAATAATGAATAGACCTAGGCAATGATCATCAATGGTCACTGCCATTACAAAATGAGTTACAACCATATTGTTGAGCAAGTGACATGTGTTGCCTATCACCAGGAGTATAAATCCAGACGTTTCTGCCCACTGCATCTTGGTATTGGAGTCACCAATGAAAACATAGTGGAGTAAAGCAGTGGTTGGAACAACACCTTAATCACATAGAGAGGAGACAGAGCAAGATTAGCTTCAATAGTGAGCATTGGTCCCCCATAGCAAGCAGTCATTCTCTATAGCCGATGCAGGGCTAATGGCCTGCACACACCTGTCTTGTGCCACAGAATGAAGAACTTTGTCCTCACAGAAGACAGATATAGTAGTGGGATTGACCAGTAGTTCAATCTGTTTAGGTGACACACACTTAAACAGATCAAAGGAATACACATTGAGTCTGAAACAGGGAAAGGTATTCCCATACAAGGTAATAGGTCCAACACAGCCTGAGAGAATTCTTTATTTCTTTGAAAGAAAGTGTTCCAAGCTCAAGACCGAGAGGTAGTTGAAAGACATCATGCACAAGACTGTCTTTCCCAACATACACTTTATTATCTCCTGTAGTAAATACACATATGCATCCCCAAACTGAACTTAAATTAGATCAAACCTCTAGATCTAATAACCAGTTTACAGGAAATATACAGGACAAAGGAACATGTTAAATTACATGCAATCAGTAAATCCAAAATATTGAAAACTATAGGAAAAACAACCCAGTTTCTTCAAAAAATACATTGCGGAGGGGTGGGGGAGATTGGGGGGTACTTTATAGATATAAGAAGAGACTTAAGGGGCATAGCAACTAAATTCAGTGTGTGCACCTTGTTTGGATCCTGATTTGAACAAAACAAATGTAAAAAGAGACAGTTGGTGAAATGTGACTACAATCTGTTTATTAGTTTTTCATTGCTGTATAACAGTGTACTCCAAAACTTAGCATCTTAAAACAATACACATTATTATCTTGTAGTTTCTATGGGTCAGGAATCCAAGAGTTGCTTAACTAGGTCATCACGCTCAGGGACTCCCTGTGCTGCACTTATCTCAAGGCTTCATGGAAAGGATCCACTTTCTGCATAGTAGTTTTAAGAATCAGTTCCTCGTTGGCCTTAGTTCATCTCTGACTGTTTACTGGAGGCCTCCCTTACCTTTTTGCCACATAGGCTTCTCCACAGGGCATTTCACAACATGGTGAACTGACTTTTCATGAGAGGATAGAAACAAGAGAATAAGAGAGGGTGACAAGATGGAAGCCAGTGTCTTGTAATCTAATCTCAGAATGTTTTGTAACCTAACCATCCCAACAATTAATAGTGGTATAACTAAGAATTTTAACAAGTTTAGGTATAAGAAAAATGACAGTTAAGGTTTTATTTTCTATGGCTGAGTAATATTCCATTGTATATATGTACCAAACTTTTTTATCCACTCATCTATAGATGTGCACTTGGGTTGCTTTTGTATCTTGGCTAATCTAAATAACATTGCAGTGAACATAGATAGGGGTGCATATGTTCTTTTTAAATAGTGTTTTGGGTTTCTTCAGATAAATTCCCAGAAGTGGAATAGCTGGGTCATAAGGTAGTTTTCTATTTTCAATTTTTTGAGGAAACCCCATATTGTTCTCCACAGTGGCTGTACCAATCTGCATGCCCCCCAACAGTGCATGAGGTTTTCCTTTTCTCCACATCCCTGTCAATGCTTATCATTTGTTGATGATAGCCATGCTGACCAGATGTGAGGTGATATCTCATTGTGGTTTTAATTTGCATTTCTATGACAATTAATGACGTTGAGCATCTTTTCATATGTCTATTGGCCATCCATATGACCTCTTTGGAGAAGTATTTATTCAGATCCTCTGCTCATTTTTAAAATTGGATTGTTTTAGGGTGTGAAAGCATGGAAGGACCAGGAGGATATTAAGCTCAGTGAAATAAGTCAGTCAGAGAAAGATAAATATTGTATGATTTCTTTTATATGTGGAATCTAAAGAACAAAATAAAGGAACAAACAAAATTGAAACAGACTTATAGCCCTGGCCAGTGTGGCTTAGTTGGTTGGGTGACCTCCCATGCACCAAAAGGTTTCCGGTTCGAGTACACATGCCTGGGTTTCAGCTCAGTCCCCAGTAGGGAGTGTGCAGGAGGCAGCCAATTGATGTTTTCACTCACAGTGATGCTTCTCTCTCTCTCTCTCTCCCTCTCCTTTCCTCTCTCTCTAAAAATCAAATAAAAAAAAACTGAAAAAAGAAAAAGAAAAAAATAGAAACAGATTAATAGATGTAGATAGTTGCTAGGAGGGAGCGGGGTGGTTGGAGGACTGGGTGAAAAAGATGAAGGGATTAAGAAGTACAAATTGGCTTGGCCAGTGTGGCTCACTGGTTGAGCATCGACCCACGCACCAAGAAGTCACCGGTTCAGTTCCCAATCAGGGCACATGCCCAGATTGTGGGCCTAATCCCCAGTTGGGGGCATGCAGGAGGAAGCCAGTCAATGTTCTCTCATCAATGTTTCTATCTCTCTCTCTCCCTCTCCCTTCCTCTCTCTTTAAAATTAATAAAGGAAAAAAAAGTTTAAAAAAAGTACAAATTGGTAGTTACACAATAGTTACAGTGATGTACAGTAAAGCATAGGGAATATAGTCAATAATATTATAATAACTATGTGTGGTGCCAGTTGGGTACTGGAAATATCAAGGGGAACATTTTGTAAAGTATATGGTTGTCTAACCTCTAAGCTGTACACCTGAAACCAATACAAAATATTAAAATTTTTTTTTTCCTTTTTATACTGTTTTAAAATTTTTTTCCTTTATTGATTTTAGAGAGAGAGGAAGGGAGAGGGAGAGAAAGATAGGAACATTGATGAGAGAGAACATCAATTGGCTGCCTCCTGCATGACCCCCCCCTGGGGATTTAGCCCACTACCTGGGCATGTGCCTTGACAAGGAATCGAACTAGCAACCTCTTGGTGCATGGGTCAACTACTGAGCCACACTGGCCAGGCTAAAACCAATACAAAATAAAATTTACAGTAAACTGTAGGAAAAAAACACAGTTAAATTGTTAGTTTTTGTTTAGGAAACATGATAACAATCTGTACCTTATTTTTGGTGTTTGAAAGGTTGCTCTTTGATCAAGACACATCTCTTACATCTGAATTCAGTCTCCATCCTGATATAAGTGGAACATGCAAAGGTGAGAAGTAATTATTTTTACTAAGTAGTCCCTTTAATTCCCCAGGTGTTGTTTGTCCATTAATACCTCCTTTTGTAGTTTTATTTTTATACACAGAGTTAGTTTCTTATAGGCATCTGTAATAGACCCTAAGGGCTATTAAATTCTTTTATGATGAGTATAGCAAGGGGGATCATAACAACCTCTGGAAGATGTTATGACAGAACTATTGAAGTGGTACTTAGTTAGCTTCCCCCACCCAAATCTCCAGCTTAACCCTAGAAGGTGCCTATCTGAAAAAGTAAATAGCACTTTTTAATAACCAGTCTGATTCTTTCTGACAAAATTAAGTTACAAATATCCTTGCTATATATTTTAACTTATTTATTTTTTATTGAGGTATAATTGACATATAACATATTATTTTCAGGTGTACAAAGTAATTATTCATTATATTTATTGTAAATAAGTCTCGTAAACATAGTCTATTACATTAGTCTAGTTAACATAGTCACACAGTAAGTCTAGTTATATATTGATTTTTATTTATTTTTAATGTATCTTTATTGTTGAATGTATTACAGATGTCCCTCCTTCCCCCCCTTAACCCCCTCCTTCCCACTCCAGCCCCCCTTCTGCCTTCCCCACACTATTGTCTGTGTCTATTGGTTATGCATATATGCATATGAGTTCTTCGGTTTCTCTCTTTCTGCCCTACCTCCCCCCTTCCCTTTGAAGTTCTTCAGTCTAACAACCAATTTGTACTTCTTAATCCCTTCATCTTTTTCACCCATTTCCTCGACCCCCCTCCCATCTGGAAACCAATAAGAAGTTCTCTGTATTTATGTTTGTTTCTGTTCTGCTTGCTCATTTTGTTTGTAGATTCAATTGTCAATAGATATGTATTTATTGACATTATATTGTTCTTTTTTTCCTTCTTCAAGAAGATCCATCAACATTTCATATAATTCTGGTTTGGTGATGATGAACTCCTTTAGCTTTTTCTTGTCTAGGAAAGTCTTTATATGGCCAATGATTCTAAATGATAGCTTTGCAGGATAGAGTAATCTTGGTTGTAGGTCCTTGCTTTCCATCACTTTAAATATTTCTTACCACTCCCTTCTGGCCTGCAAAGTTTCTTTAGAAAAATTGGCTGACAGTCTTATGGGAGCTCTGTTGCAAGTAACTAACTGCTTTTCTCTTGCTGCTTAAGATTCTCTTTGTCTTTAACCTTTGCATTTTGATGACGATTTGTCTTGGTGTGGACCTCTTTGTGTTCATCTTGTTTGGGACTCTTTGTGCTTCCTGGACTTGTAAGTCTGTTTTCTTCACCAAGTTAGGGAGGTTTTCTGTCATTATTGTTTCAAATAGGTTTTCAATTTCTTGCTCTCTCTCTTCTCCTTCTGGCACTCCCATAATGTGAAAGTTGGTATGCTTTAAATTGTCCCACAGGCTCCTTATATTATCCTCAATTTTTTTTTTTTTTAATTCTTTTTTCTTTTTGCTGTTCTGCTTGGGTGTTTTTTGCTTCCTTGTATTCCAAATCAATGGTTTGCTTCTTGGCTTCACCTACTCTACTATTGATTCCCTGTAAATTATTCTTTATTTCAGTTAGTGCATCCTTCATTTCTGACTGGTCCTTTATCATGCTCTTGAGGTCCTCATTAAGTTCTCTGGCGTTCTCATGAAGTTCCTTGATATTCTCAATAAGTTAATTGAGCATCCTTATAAGCAGTTTTTTGAACTCTGCATTTGTTAGATTGCTTATCTCCATTTCATTTAGTTGTTCTGGAGTTTTGTTCTTTTCTTTCATTTGGGACATGTTTCTTTGTCTCCTCATTTTGGCTGCCCCCCTGTGTTTGTTTCTATGTATTAGGCAGAGTTTCTATGTCTCCTAGGTTTCCTTATGTGGCCTGTTATAGTAGATGTCCTGTAGGGTCCAGTGGCACAGCCTCCCTGATCGCCCCAGGTGGGCCCTCAAGGTATACTCCTCATCTGGACTTTACACCTTTCTGTTGTAAATGAGTCGTGATTGCTATTGGCACATCAGTGAGAGGGATTTACTCAGGCTGATTCGTTGCAAGTACTGGCTGTGCCCATTGACCACTGACCTCTGACTATACCTTGGAGTATCAGCTGTGCAGGGGCCCACCACCCAGAGCAAGACTTACTTCAGCAGGGCTCTAGTACTCACTGAGTCCATTCCCTGAGTATGTCAGTTATGGAGATGGTTGGGTGGTGGTGCTTTGATGTGGTCTGAAGCTGTCCACTGGGTGTGCTGGCTCTGCAACAAAGTCAGCCACTACCTATGTTCTACCCAGGGCCACCAGGCATAAGCTTCAAAGTGATCTGCAGATGGCTGCTTGTTGTGCTGGGCTTGGAGGTGCCCATGCAAAATCAAGCTGTGAACCAAGAGTGGCTGCTCCTAGTGCTGAGCCTGGAGCTACTTAGTGAGAGGTATGGAGCTCACTGAAGCCAGGTGCTGCTTTTTTGAGAGGATTTAGGAAACTCTGAAACAGTAACCAAGACAGGCCATTCCTATGGTAAAGCCACTGGAAACAGCTTGGGTGGGCCTGAAAGTTGGGTGGGGCAGGGCCTCAGGGAATCACCAGGGCGGGGCAAACTGTATAAGCCAGGTTGCTGGAGTGCCAGATGTGGCAGCAGACTGCCTGCCCTGTGGGGGAAGGGCTCACCAAAGGAACAACAGCCACCAGCAGGTCTGTCCAGGAGAGAGCTGCCTCTCCAGCTCTTGCCCCAATGCCAAACAACTCAGTTCGTCCCCATATGTCTCTGTGCCTTTCAAGCTGGCTACCACACACTGGAGCCTGGAGGGTGCGAGTCCCAGTAAGCCCGTGCATGGTCTCCTCCCCTTTTTCTTCTTTATTGTTTTTTTAGGGAGAGGGAGAGAGACATAGGGACATTGAAGAAAGAGAACATCAATTGGCCGCCTCCTGCATGCCCCCCACTGGGGATCTGGCCCCCAACTTGGGAATGTGTCCTGACTGGGAATCGAACTGGTGACCTCTTGGTGCATGGGTTGACGCTCAGCCACTGAGCCACACTGGCCAGACATGTGGTCTCTTTAAGAGGAACTGCCTGGGGTTCCAGCAGCCTTAGCCTCAATTCCGACTGAATTTTACAGCTGGAAGTTATAGGGACTTCTCTTCCTGGCACTGAAACCCTGAGCTGGGGTCCCTAGTGGGGGAAGGGAAAACTCCTCAGGAAAGACCTTCACAGCTGAGGTACCCACCTGATATTTATCTGCCACATGTAAGTGTGGGACCAGCCTGTTCGTGCGTCTGCCCCTCCTACCAGTCTACCAGACTACCAGAGGGAGTCTTCCACTTTAATTTCGAAGTTGTAGAATTTCCATTCAGCTTGATTTTGCTGTGCAGAAGCTTTTTAGTTTGATGTAGTCCCGTTTATTAATATTTTCCTCTGTTTCTCTTGCTCTAGGCAATGTATTGGTGCAAATTCTGCTATGTGTGATGTCTGAGATTTTGCTGCCTACATTTTCTTCTAGGATTTTTATGGTTTCATGAGTGACATTTGTCTTTTATCCATTTTGAGTTTATTCTCATGTCTGATATAAGTTGGTGGTCTAGTTTCATTTTTTTTTGCATGTAATTGTCCAATTCTCCCAACACCATTTATTGAAGAGACTGTCTTTACTCCATTGTATGCTCTTGCCTCCTTTGACGTATATTAATTGCGCATAATGTTTTGGGTTGATATGAGTTCTCTGTTCTGTTCCATTGATCTATATGTCTATTCTTGTGCCAACACCAGGCTGTTTTGATTACGATGGCTTTGTGATATAACTGATATCTGGAATTGTGATGCCTCCAACTTTGTTCTTCTTTTTCAAGATTTCTGTAGCTATTTGGGGCCTTTTTTTGGTTCCCCATAAACTTTTGGAGTATTTGTTCTAGATCTGTGAAGTACGCCATTGATACTTTAATAGGGATTGCATTGAATTTATAGATTGCTTTGGATAGTATGGACATTTTAATGATGTTGATTCTTTCAATCCATGAACATGGTATATGTTTCCACTTTTTTATATCTTCCCCTATTTATTTTTTCAATGTCCTATAGTTTTCTGAGTACAGGTCCTTTAATATTTTTGTTGCAGTGGTTAAAGAGATTGTTTTTTGTTTCCCTTTCTGAATGTTCATTATTGGTGTATAAGAATGCCTTTGATTTCTGGATGTTAAATTTTTTTTTTTTAATACTCACCTGAGGACATTTTTTTTCCCGTTTTTTGTTCAGATAGAGTGGGAGGAAGAGAGAGGGAGTGGGAGAGGGAGGGAGAGGGAGAGGGACAGGGACAGAGAGAGAGAGAGAGAGAAACATTGATGTGAAAGGGACACATCAAGTGGCTGCCACCCACACGACTAACCAGGGTTGGGGACAAACTGCAACAAAGGTACGTGCCCTTAGCAGGAACCAAACTTGGGTCTCTCTCTGGACCACAGGCCGATGCTCTAACTGCTGAGCCAAACTGGCCAGTTCTCTGGATGTTAATTTTGTATCCTACCACTTTGTCAAATTCATTTATTAAATTTAGTAGTTTTTTGATGGAGTATTTAGGGTTTTCTATGTACAATATTATGTAATCTGTGAATAATGATTTTCACATCCTCCTTTCTAATTTGGGTGCCTTTCATTTTTTCTTCTTGTCTGATAGCTGTGGCTAAGACTTCCAGTACTATGTTGAATAAGAGTGGCGAAAGTGGATATCCCTTTCTTGTTCCTGTTCTTAAGGGAAATGCTTTTAGTTTTTGCCCATTGAGTATATTGTTGGCTATAGGATTTTCATATATGACCTTTATTATGTTGATATATAATCCTTCTGTTCTTGCTTTGCTGAGCATTTGTATTAGAAATGGGATTTTGTTAAGTGCTTTTTCATCACCTATTGATATGATCATATGATTTTTAGCTTTCATTTTGTTTATGTGGTATGTCATATTTATTGATTTGCAAATATTGTATCAGCCTTGCATCCCTGGGGTAAA